AATAATTTGTGGTCCCAAGCTGAAATCAGAAAATTCTCCGAAGTCCCCAAATTCACATACCATCAAGCAGACGGGAGCTTAAAGTATGAATTATGTAAGGGCTGGCCCTATCAGTCTTCATCACCCATCGTCCCCAAATCTAGCCATAGGAGCTGCTGATAAATGACCCTTTATGTGGTATGGTTCGAGGGGGTTTGAAGGTCTCACTTTCTCAAAGATGTTCATTTTCTTTTAAAAAATATATATTTATTGATTTTTTACATAGAGGAAGGGAGAGGGATAGAGAGTTAGAAACATCGATGAGAGAGAAATACCGATCAGCTGCCTCCTGTACACCCCCTGCTGGGGACATGCCCGCAACCAAGGTACATGCCCTTGACTGGAATTGAACCTGGGACCCTTCAGTCCGCAGGCCGATGCTCCATCTACTGAGCCAAACGGGTCAGGGCGAGATGTTCATTTTCTTAATAAGTATCAAAGATGGTAGTGACACCAAAAAGAAAGTGCTGACAAGAGTACTAGGGACTCCTGGAGGCCAGAGATAACTTCCCCCAGTGGCAAGATCTGTCCCTTCCCACCTCATGGGTAATACCAGGTTCCTGACACCATCCATGACACCAGCTGCATGACCAACTCATATTGTTTCTCTCTGGTATTGCACAAAGGCCTCCTGGTGAGCTCCCTCCCCAAAAATCAGGGGGCAGGGGGCACATAATGATGATAATGGTCACCTGGGATCCTCAGTCCAGGGTTCAAGCTCAGTACCAAAGCAGATAGCAGGACCTCCTCAAACCAGCCCTTTCCTGTTCCTATCTAAAGAAAGAAACACATTTAACTATCTGGACGCTCAGCTTTCTAGTGACCTGACACCAATATAGGGCTTCCTTATGAACAGTTCCAGAATTAGAATCAGCATGTCACCTAGAAACTGCAAAGAAAGAATGGAAGCTTTGATTTATGTCCTTGGGGACATTATTTAGACCTAAGTGGTCTGGAAGAGGCACAATGTGCACCTAAAACTGACTGGAAGAATTGGGGACAATGCCTACCATTATTAGCCAACACTTCCTGTACAGAAGGGAAAAGTCATGTCAGAAAAAGAGCAGGGTGTGTGATGATTATAAGAATTGCCCATTATTGTTTAAATAATACAAGTAACCCCAGGCTTCAATTTCATCAGTTATAACTTGGAGAATTCACAGGTTATCTAGGGGAATTACATACGTCTAAAGGGAGGTGATTTGATCCAACCCCTGGGTCTGATTCTGAACTGTGGTATCCTACCCCACTCATTCTCCCATTCTCTCTTCCCTCCCCAACTTCCCAAGAGAGAGGCAGACCTCACCATGAAACAAAGGAAAAAGAAGCAAAGGCAAAAGGACAAGGCGAATCATGGTTAAGCTTAAACCACAGATGATGGGCACATGTAAGAAGAGGAGAGAGAGAGAGAGAGAGAGAGAGAGAGAGAGGAGAAAGGACGAAAGGAAGAAAGGAAGGAAGGAGGAAGGAAAGAAGGAAGGAAGGAAGGGAGGAAGGGAGGAAGGGAGGAAGGGAGGAAGGAAAGGGAGAGCCACCGCCCACCATGGCAGTAATTTCCTGGGGCACAAGGGATAAACGTGCACACAAGAGGCACGTTTATGTACCATCTGCCCTTTCTCATATTCTTCCATGTGCAAAATTAAGTGCCTTTGTAAACTTTAAACCACTCTCTACGTGATAGGAGTTTGACTTTACTATGTCTCTCAGTCTTCAATGTCAACTGCCCTGAGGCTGAAAGTCCTAAAAGAATATGCTAAATACCCTCTTGTGTATATCTTCTACTCCCTTTCCAATTTCTCCCTTTGTCATCCTCCTCTGGCAAAACCCAGCCCCTCTTTAAATCCAGTTCTTTTTCTGCATCATGTGTATTCTCATTCAGACAACAGCTACTGGAGAAAAACATACCCACACGGACACTCACTTTGATCATGGCCACCAACCTCCAAGGGGCCCTGAGTGCTATCAGATGATGTATCATGATACATTTTGCTGATTCAGTTACTCTCCGATTTTCCCAATTGACTACTTCATCCCGTTTGCTCTCTCTTCAAATCTCCAATGCCTCATCCCCCATCCTCACTCACAGCTTCCTATTTCACTGAAAAACTACATGCAACCCTGACAGACATCCCATAAGCCCCCGCCATTACATCTGTCCTTCTATACACATCTGTACCCATATCACTCAGGATAGGGTAGCTAATGCTATAACAATAGCCTAAAACAACAAAGGACACTAGATGTCTATAATGGTCAGCTGGAGGATCTGCTCTATGGTTTCCTTACTCAGGGGTGTAGGCTGATGAGCAATCAGTTTCTAGAGCAGTGGTTCTCAACCTGTGGGTCGTGACCCCTTTGGGGGTCGAACAACCCTTTCACAGGGGTCGCCTAAGACCATCGGAAAACACATATATAATTACATATTGTTTTTGTTGATTAATCACTATGCTTTAATTATGTTCCATTTGTAACAATGAAAATACATCCTGCATATCAGATATTTACATTATGATTCCTAACAGTAACAAAGCTACAGTTATGAAGTAGCAATGAAAATAATTTTATGGTTGGGGGTCACCACAACATGAGGAACTGTAATAAAGGGTCGCGGCATTAGGAAGGTTGAGAACCACTGTTCTAGAACATTACCAGTCACTGTGGCAGAGGGAAGAATAACTTTTGAAGATTTCCCTGCTGACAATTAAATGCTATAGCACAGAAATGACTTGTATTGCTTAACACTAGCCACAGTCAGTTACTTGACCCCGCCAAGCTATAAGGGACCATGTGTCCAGAAGGCAGAGAAGGGAACATATTTGACATTAGTGCTAATGGCTTCCAATGTGCCCACAAACTGTATTTCTTCTCCTGTGAATATACTGAACTCTCAGGGAAGGCCAACCCACTCATGTACCAGATCCTTCTTGCCTCCTGAAAAACATCAGTTCTTTAACTGTTCCCACTATTTCCTGTCTTATAAATGTTTCTTTCTCTACTGGACCACTTTTATCAGTATATAAACATCATTACAATTACCCAATTTCTCCCTTAATAAAAAACAAAAATGATAACCTGTCCTCTTCTAGTTACAACCCCATTTCTCTGTTCCCATTTCCAGCAAATCTGCTTCAGAGAGTTGCTATACTAGCTCTAGTTCCCTCCCCCACCCCCCACACACATGCTCATGAACTCCAATAAAGCAGATCACCTCCCACCATCCCTTGACCAAACCAGTGCTTTTGGCAAGGTCTCCCACAACATCCACATTGCTACAGCCAGCAGTAAACTGTGAGTACTTATCTTACCCACACTATCAGCCTCATTTGATCCAACGGAACACTCTGTTTTCCTCTTGAAACACTTTTCATCCTTGATTCCCAAGATACTTGGGTTTCTTAGTTCTTAATCCATATTCCTGACTACAGCTGCTCAGCCTTTCTTATTGGTACCGATGCTCTTTAATATCAACAGCAGGGTGCCCCAGGGCTCAGTGCTTAGCTGGCTCCTCTTCTCTTCTACAACTCTCTCCCTTGGTAGCTTCATTTGAGCTTGTGATTTTGAATGCAATCTATGCACGGATGGGTCCCAAATGTCCAGCTTTAGCTTGAATGGCTAAACAGAAATACTCAGTTATCCAACTGAGTATGCAATATTTCCTCTTGGATGTTATCTTTGTCCATTTTGCTATAACAAAACACCAGAAACTGGATGGCTTATAAACAACTAACATTTATTTCTCTCCATTTTGGAAGCTGGGAAGTCCCAGACCATGCTGCTGGCAGCTTTGGTGTCTAGTGAGGGCCTGCATCCTAACTGACAACCACCTTTTCACTGTAACCTCGCTTGGCCTAAAACAGTGGTTCTCAACCTTCCTAATGCCGCAACCCTTTAATACAGTTTCTCATGTAGTGGTGACCCCCGACCATAAAATTATTTTCGTTGCTACTTCATAACTGTAATGTTGCTATTGCTATGAATCGTAATGTAAATATCTGATATGCAGGTTGTATTTAGGTGACCCCTGTGAAAGGGTCATTCGAACCCCAAAGGGGTCGCGAGCCCTGGCCAATGTGGCTCAGTTGGTTGAGCTTCATTCCATGCATCAAAAGGTCACAGGTTAGATTCCCCATCAGGGTACATGCCCGGGTTGCAGGCTAGATCCCCAGTAGGGAGAGTGCAGGAGGCAGCAGATCTCTCTCTCTCTCTCTCTCTCTCTCTCTCTTTCTCTCTCTCTCTCTCTCTCTCTTCCAAATCAATAAAAACATTTTTTAAAAAAGGAGGCAAGGGAGCCCTCTGGAGTCTTTTATAGAAGGACTCATCCCATTCATGAGAGCAAAGCCCTGAAGACCTAATCACCCCCAAAGGCTCCACCTTCTGATCCCATCACACTGGGAGTTAGGGTTTTAACATGAATTTTGGCGGGACACTAACATTTAGTTCATAACATAAGTCCCACAAGGAAAAGAATTTTGTTAAGAAATGGATGGCTCAAGTATAAAAATCATCTAATCCAATCCCTCCTTTTACAAGTGAAGAACCATACACCTGAAACTAAAACAAAGTGATATTGAATGTAAGCTGTAATTAAAAAAAAATAATATAAAAGTAAAATAATATTAAAATTTAGTAGCACAAAAAATAAATAAAAGGAAACAAAAGTAAGGAACCCAAGGCTCCCAGAAATAAACTAAGTTCCCAAAGGTTGGAAAAAGATGAGAACTCTGGTCACCTGATGCTTTTCTAGCTGAATCTCCACCTCTGCTAAAAGAGTAATACTCCATTGTCATTATAATGGCAAAAATAAAGGGGAATGAAGTATAAAAAATAGTAAATTAAAATATAAAAAATACAATAAAACATTAACAAACTTAAGTATGTCACTAGTAAAGTTAAAATGGAAAACAACTGGCATAAGTAAGAAGCCATAAAAACCTAGTACACTATTAACTTTACTTACTTACTGTTTGTGGAGTTTGCAGGTAATTCTAACATGAAGTCAACTCCATTTGCAAGACATTCCATCCACAGCCTAAATTCCAGAAAGAGATAACTCAGATCATTTTCTTAAGGTGTGAGACCCCATTGTTTGGCAATACTGTGGCATAGACAGACATAGATAGGCATTTATGCATTTAATCATACCAAATATAACAGTGATACAACAAATTAATTACAACTTTAAATTCAAGCAACTTAACTATACTTGCCTTTATGATTTCTTGTATGAAAAATGCAGTAATTGGTCCAGATCATTTTAAATAACTTCCCCCAATGGTTGAGAGTTTTCCAAATTTCACTAAATACATTTTTCTAAGATTCAAGAAACCCTAATAACCCCCAAAAGGATGAACTAATGTGGTTAAGGATGAATCTATGCTTAAACACATCATAGTGAAAAATGCAGAAAACTAATGCAGACAAAATTTTACAAGTAGCCAGAGGAAAAAGGCAAATTACATTCAAAGGGGCAATAATTAGATGACAGTTGACTTCCTCCCAGCCCTCCAAAAAAAGAAATTACTAAACTCAGAAGGCAATAGAATATCTTCAAAGTGCTAAAAGAAACTACATGAATAAAGTAGTTCCAACCTAGAATTCTATAACCATTGAACCTTTCCATCAAGCACGAAGGTGAGATAGTTTCAAAATATCAAAAAGTAGAAAAAATATATTTATAGCATAACTACACTAAAGGATATAGAAATTTTTGTCCTGTAAAACTAAATACACCCCAATACATTTAAAAATGAAATAAGATATCTAAGTAACTCATGGATCAAAGAAAGACAGACAAATTCAAAAATATTTTCAACTGAGTAGCAAATTTAGTACATACTAAACTTGTAAGGATGAAGCCAAAGCTACTTAGAATAAGAAATAAATGTTAGAAAATAAGAACAACTAAATATAACAAAGCTAAATATGTATCTCATTAGGACATTAGGAACAAAAGAAACCCAAAGAAAAAACAAGGAAGGAAATATTAATAAGAGCAGAAATTAAAAGGCATTAAATAGTGAAGATCAACAAAGACATAAGTTGTCCATTTGATAAGATTAATAAACATGCTAAATCTTTGATGAAGACTAATGAATAAAACAGAAAGAGACATAATTGCAGGTAAAGATAATTAAAGAGTATATTTCAATCAACTTTATTCCGAAGTTTAAAATTGTGAACAATTGAAAAAAATTCACAACAAAATTGAACTTATCAAAACAGTCGCAAGAAACATAAAAATTGAATGATGCTTTAAGAAATGGAATCATAATTAAAAACCTTCCCATGGTAAAAAAAAAAAAAAAATTAACTGCATGCCCAGATGGCTTCACCAGCAAGTTCGACCAAAAATTTAAGGAAGCAATTAACACTTAACACAAAGATTTAAGGATAAATTATACGAACCCTGCCATAGAACAGGAGCAAAGGGCACTTTCTGTAGCTTGGAGTTTAGATTGAAGCAAATACAAAAACACAACTAGAACTGAAAAGTGTACGTCAATCTCATTCATAATCATAGATGCAAAAATCTTAAAATGTTAGCATATCAAACCCATATTTTAAAAAGGACAATACATCCTAATGAAACTGAATTTAACTCAATACACACTTAGTTTAAATTTTTGTTAAGTCAATCAATATAACCATATCAGTAGATTAAAAAAGAAAAATCATATTTTCATCTCAATAGATACAGAAAAAGCCAAATCTATTGATTAAAAAAAAAACTTAGCAAAAAAGGGAAGTTCCTATTCTAAAAAAGATATATACCAAAAACCTATAAACATAATATTTATGCTAAAACATCAAAAACACTCTCTTTTACAAAAGAGAATGAGACAGGGTGTCCACCGTCATCTCTCCTTTTTAAAAAAATATATTTTATTGATTTTAGAGAGGGAGAGAGAGATAGAAACATCAATGATGAGGGAGAATCATTGATTGGCTGCCTCCCCTACTGAGGATCGAGCCCACAACCCAGGATGTGCCCAGGCTGACGCTCTATCCACTGAGCCAAACCAGCTAGGGCCACCGTCATCTCTTCTACTCAACATTTGCACTAGAGCTGTTGGCCATGACAGTAAGGTAAGAAAAATTAGAAAGATTAAAAAGGAAGACAATATCGTTTACAGATGAGAAGATTAAATTTATAGAAAAAGCAAAGAATTCACTATTACTATACTTTTAAGTATTTTTTAGCAAGATTGCTGAATATTACAAAGCTCAAAAATAAATTTAATAAATTGGCACTTTTTTAGAAATGAAATGTTGAAAAGTAGGCAATTTTGGTAACATCAAAATATAACAAGTACATGGAAAAAATCTAACAAAAGATGTGCAAGATTGCTATGCAGGAAATGACATTACTGAATATGTTGAGCAATTAAAGCCAGATGCAAGAATATATATACTGTATTAATCCATTTACATAAAGCTTAAAAACAGGCAAAACTAATTTATGAATAAATACTTAGATAGTAAAATAAAAAATATAACAAGGAAATTATTTTCATTCTGGGAGAAATGGATAATAATTGTAAAGAAAGAAGGGAATTCTGTGGTCCTATCATTCCATTTCTTGGCCTTGGTGGTGGTTAGATGGATGCTTGTTTATAGTACTTTTTCAGGAGCAAACTGCTAATACCACATTTCTGTATGCATATTGCATTTCATAGATGTTCATACATGCATGAAATGTTTCTTAAAATCCCCAAAGAAGCAGCTAAAAGCGGGGGAATTCATATGGTAAGTGGATCTTTAAGACATAAGAATAACTAATTTGGAACAATCACTTTGAAGTTTAGTAAAATGTAACTAAATATAACAAAGCTAAGCATATATTTTTAAAAAACAGAGGGCTAACAGAGTAACAGTCTCCCTAGCAAGACAGCTAAAAGCATGGGTTTTAGAGCCAGAAAACGTGGGTTTCAATCTTAGCTCCACCACTTAGTATCACTGAAGTTCGGGGAACGTTTCTTTTGTTTTTTTAGCTAAGTGTAGTTTTCTCTACTGAAAAATAAGAATCCCACTTAACTCATGAGAATTAGAAAGAATATATCTGCAGTATCAAGTCAATAACTGGAAATTGCTTTTGTAATTATCTTTGCTGTAATTTGAAGGTGGATAATTTCCCATTTTTATTAAGTTTACAGTCTTGGGCTGACATATAAAGTTCTGATGAAAGGCATTCAGTTAACAGAAATGGACCATCAGAAGGTACCTCACTTGAAATCATTATCCGGTGACAAGTTTTACAGAACTCTTAATAAATTACATTTAACACAGTCAGCAAATATACAGGTATTCACCGTGGCAGTCTGAGCTGCCCATGAGCTCTCTCATCCTTATTCCATCTTATTCTGTGCATTCATAGCACAAGCAACCAAGACCATAGAAGATCTTCTCAATGTGTGAGAAAGTGTGATCAAATGGAAAAAGAATGTGTTTAAAAGACAAATAGACTGCTTGCAAATCCTGGCTCTGCCACCTCCTAATTATGTATCCTCTTTAATCCTCAGTGTTCTGAATTGTCCAGATGGAATAAAACCAGTCTCACAGGATTGTTTTATGGAAATTCTTCACTGCAGAATGATGAGAACATCATTCTCCTAAGTGAAGCCACCTTTTAACTCAGATATCCCATCCAATGCCACCAGATTGCAACTACTTCATAACGAAGATGTTGCCTTGTTAAATGTCTCAATCAAGGTGCCTAATAAATGAGACATCTCCTGAGGTATATGGATTCAAATCCCAGAAATTCAGAGATGGAGGAATCTCTGAGACTGACAGACACTCTAGTCAAAACCTACTACATCTACCTAAACTTACATTTAAAAAATCATTTTACAGATCATAGTATCATGTGGTTAGCTATTAATGACTTAAAGGTCCAGAACAGTAATTCTCAATCTGGCTGCACATTGCAATCTCATAGGTAGTTAAACACACACACACACACATACCATGCCCCACCTTGAAAAAAAAGGAATCAGAAATTTGAGCTGGAGCACAGAAGTTCTATAAAAAATTCTCCAGATGATGTAATGTGCTAGGGTCGAGAACACTACAATAGAAGATGATCAAAAAACTAGTTGTCCGTACTTCATTATAAAAAATAGCTTTCATAATTATGTGGCCCTTTTTTACCCTACTAAAAATGAAAACAAATGAAAGGCAACCCAAAAGATCCAGGTTGTGTTTAAAAAATTTCATGATTAAGAGTTACTTTATATAATGGAATTTAAAAAGATATAATTAACTTCTCCAGAATACTATTATTTCATTTAAAGAGTATATGTTAGTACTGCCATGCTAAGAAAAACAAATGGAATGACATAGCTTTCTCTCAGGGCTTTGCACCTCCTCGTGATTTTATCTGAACTAAACAAGGCATAAGAAAGTCACTCAAAATGTAACATTTTATATTATTCCACACTAGAGGCCCGGTGCACGAATTCGTGCATTGGTGGGGTCCCTAGGCCTAGCTGGGCTGCGGGAGGTTGGCTGGTGGGGGAGGGGCCACAGGAGGTTGGCTGTGGGAAAACACTGACCACCAGGGGGCATCTCCTGCATTGAGCACATCATAGTGACCAGTCATTCTGGTCATTCTGCCTTAACGGTCGCTTAGGCTTTTATTATATAGATAATATAGAACATTATTCTTAGTAAGTTGTTACTATAGTAATATTTACCTACCCTGATATTATTTCCCATTTGCTTATTCTAGGACTTTTGCCCTAGAATAGCAACCACACAAATCTCAGTTGCAAGCTGTTCACAGCACTCAGATCCTTGGCAACATTTTGGAATGAATATATTTTAAACTATAAGAACATTTTGTTGAATGCCATAGTTTCAAATGTCTCTAAAGTGCCATTTGTGCTGAATCTACCCCAGATCTGTCAATTCTTATGAATAGCACATCTTCCTTTATCTTCATCCAGGTAGACTAGTGAAAGCTGTACACAGAATAAGCGAATTCATAACTTTGCTGATTAGCACTATATTTTGGAACATAAGATATCA